GCTGGAGGAACTGTCCATGGTCCTGAAAGTGCTGGAATGTTTCAGGACTTTAGACCAGTGGTTCTCAACTGTTTTAGACTTGTGTATTTCCTATATCTCATTAGGCAGCCACTGATGGGGATTTTGAAATGATGCTTACGTGTCAGCAAATGTCTCTGCAGTTTAACAAGTTCATCTTTAATTTGATTTAATTTTTAAAGATCTACTTATGTCATACAAACAAAAAGTACAAAAAGGAAAAGAACCTTGAGATACAAGTTTGTTTAAAAAATCTAATTACATCCTGCTTTAAGCGGCATTGAAGCCTGTCCTCCAGAAAATTTGTTTTTCACTTTAATCCTAAGTTTTCTTTTTCCTGTGTCTGCACACTGCAGACTTGACAACAATGTAAAGTTTATGAAATAACATTTGTAAAAACTGCTGTGCAATCTTTGAGACTGTAGTATTTTTTTAAGATGGCATCAATCCACTGTAGTCTTGGCTCTCTAAAATACTGTTGACATTAATGGCTGTTCCAGTTGTCGTATAAAGAAGTACAGAGAAAAATAAATTCTGTGAGAATGAGACAATAGAAGCAGTCTGCTCAATTTCTGCACTGGAAGAGGTGGAGGGAATGTACATGAAAGCAGCCATGTCATTAGTGAAGCTCACCGTTACTGAGGACTACTTTGTWACCATGGCAACCCATGCAAATGACTTTGTMATGTCTGGACACACAAATCCAAACTAATCACATGCAAGTAACAGCAAGGGCCTTGTCCTAAAGACTTGGGAAGAAAACAACCTTTTTATTCTGGCTGTAAAGTTTCTGTCTCAGTGGGCTGCGACTGTAGGTAAGGTGACAAATGTACAAACAGCTTTCAGTTAGTCTTCATGATGTCTCAAAACATTTGTGTCTTCACATGATTCAGCTTTAATTTCTCTCCACCACACAGAATTGGTCATGTATTGTAAAGTTCAGACATTTCTTAAATTGTTACARGCCATGATTGAAATGGAAGGATGAGCAGTTTCATTGGCAGGATGGGCTGCCCTCCTCGGAAAATGGTAGGAAAAATCTATATTTCATATGGTATGCATTAATAACTCAACTAGAYCCAAATTGAAACTTTAGTTCATATCTGTAATATTGTTGGAGTTATAAACATTATTGTGTTGGCTAATGTTGGCCGTGTCCAAATTCAGAAGCTGGATCCAGTGAAGGCCAAATTTGTCAGCTGCTTACGTCACAGTACCACACCATAGGCTGTCCAAATTCGAAGGCTCCTCTGATGCAGCCGACAAACACGTCCTCCTTTATTTTATTTTTTAAGCCACTTCCATAGAAAACAGAACTGAATGTTAGTTTCTTCAACATCAGTGACTTTTTTTTAAAGAGAAGAAGAAAAAGAGAGAAAAAAGGAGAAATGTAATGGGGAAGATGAAGAGAGATTAGAGAAGATATGTCAAATATAAACCAAGAGAACATAAGACAACACACCCGACATCTGTCTGCACACRTGRATAAATGGAGAAAACAAAAACACAGCAACAAATAACATACGTATATCATAATAATAATTATAACTTTGCTGAAATATATACAAACTTATACCCATACAMACATAGATAGACATCAGTGGTGGGCACTAGTCTCCTAAAGCYCAAATGCACTAATTGCGGATCTAAATTTCTCCTTTGCGCTTTGGGGGTTTCACTAATTTCATAAAATGATGTYCGGATTTGCCCTWTCTAAATTTAGKATTGAGTAGCACTAATCYCAAATAATGTTTKACAGTCAAACYTCAATTTCYTCTAAAGTAAAGAGAAAGAGCCGTCTTTTCTCACTATGMTTTMTAGCCGCARAATTCATTAWAACTTCYTCATGATTTTCTTGAATATTGAAGGGGAAAGCCGTCGCTTCTTAACACAATGGATCTCCACTGTGAGGAAACAGCGACCCCTCAGTCTTCATTGCATTCYRAGAGTTTTATACTCTGACTTCTGACTCTTCTCTGTGARGGTTTACACTTAATAGAGACTGRAGTGTTCCCACAATTCTTTGCGTGGCAGGAAGCAATTACAATTTCTTCACTGGGRYACAATCCACCTGCTTTTCTGATCTGCAGAACCACACTCAGCTGTGGAYTTTGTWTCTCCTCTCCYAGGGACACCACYGCAATAAATATTAAATAATAGTAGGAAAGAAACATGGAACAGTTTTAAATTCACTTCTTTATTTTGGAAAGAACAGAGTTCCTGTTCTGTGTCCTGTAGACTACCTAGAATGCATTGCTTCAGTTTTACAACAAACAGTTTAAAATTACTAAAATATCTGCATGTTTTCTTACTGAAGCTCTGCTTYAACATAAGATAATGACCAAGAGGCAGCAGAACTAGCAATCCAAACTATTTTTMMTTTWAKKKC